TGAGGGGTCTGTGATGACTTGTTAATCTGATGAATAACTGATTTGTTAAATCAAATGAAAAATGTTGTTTTTGATTGGTCCAGACGCTACATATAGTACTTAGTCTTATTTTGGTTCCCCCGATTGGCAAGGGTTAAAAAAATCACCCTTTAAAGCCATTTCAGAGCAAATAAACTATCAAGATATATATATATATATATATATATATATATATATATATATATATATCTAACACTTACTAGCTAGCTAACTAATTAAATAAATAAATAAAATCACATTTTTATTTTATTTTATTATTTATTTATTTATTTTTTGCTAAATTACTAAGCCCTATTTGTAAGTCCCTTGTGTCTGTTAACTAAATGAATGAATCAATGAATCAGTCAATCAATCAATTGATTGTAAATTGATTGACTAAAAGTCCTTTTACTCTACTTTGGTACAAGGGTATATGACACATATTCATGAGCTTTTATTTTTATTAATTAACATCAAGACTTTGAAAATTGTAGTTACTTTTTAAAACATTTTTTCACCATTTTAATAACCTTTTTGTCTTCACTACTATTTTGATTAATTCTGTGTTGTGACAAATTAATTAAAAGAATGAACATTCGATTCCAAAGTTTCTCATTTAATATGAGATCATAAAAACTGCATGCATAAAACGCAAATTATCAAAATGCTTAAAGTAATTTTAAATGGAGTATATAAATGTCACGCCGCAGGTCATTTCAGTTTCCCAAAAGTATTTCATATCAACCACCCAAAGCTGTTTGCAGAACTGATGAATATTCAAATCAAACAACATTTTCAAGCATAATGTGTCTTTGTAAGCCCTGGGGCTGCTGTGGGGTTTCTTCACTCCCAGTATGATGGACGATGAATGAATTAAGATTTTATAAAATCCACACTGGAGTCTTTCCAGAACATTCATGCACTGATTTAATGGTCTGGGGCAAGGTGCGAACTACGGGGGAGCTAGGGGGAGCTCGGCTCCCCTTAATAAGACATGGGCTCCCCTGAAAACGTGATTTGTGAAATTTTGGGGGGTCTCAAAAAATATTGACAATGTGTTATTTTGACGTGCAATTTCAGTTTTGTGTAATGTGATCATCGTGGATTATTATGTGTAAAATTGCAAAAATATCATTCATTCATGCATGACGGCGATTTAAACCTAATTCACTTCAATAAAGATAACTACACATGCTATTCTTGTCATGAGCATCAAGGTGTGGGGGCGCTGCGGTGCAAATTCCATTCATATTTAGTACATGTTAACTCAAAGATTCGTAGAAAAAATATAAACGTTGGACTCTGGTCGATTCTGTGTTAAGGTAAGGCATGTTATTCGCAATTCACGGTATAGTTCGAACACTGGTCTGGGGTCTCAGACTGCTCTATTTGAATACATTTAATACAAAACATTTGAACAGACACCGGCACTGAGAACACAGATGTGTCTTTTCTAGACTATAGAAGAAGATGAAATGAAGTGTTTCCCGCTGTGGGCCTGTGGGACAGACGAGTCACTATGCTGCGTTACGAATCTGCTGTTGAATGCTTGCTATAGTGACATGTTTGTTATCCCAAATGACCTTGTGACCTTCTCCCTTCCTCCCACTTCCTGTGATGTCATGCTGAAGCTGATCTCTGAATGCTCTCGCTCTTGCAGGTGCGACAACACACCAAATATAGCAGCTAGCTGTAGCAAAAAAAAAAGAGTGAGTGAATGTTTAAGTCTGGAAATAATGTGTGGACGTTTTTGCACATTTGTCTCTATGTGCATACATGTACTCAAGGGTGGGGAAGTAAATATTTGCATTTAGATCAGTCTGAGTAAATGGGATGTCTGCAGGTCAAGGAATTACAGGCTTGCTCATAAATAAGAAGCCAGCATGGGCAATTTGAGATCCAGGAGATCTATAAGTGATCAGATAAACAGATATTATGAGCAAAGCTTTAATAGTTATTTTATTTTAATCAAACTTAAGGTAATATACACTCTAAAAAAATAAAGGTCCCAAAAGGGTGTTTTTAGAATAACCATTTTTGTGGACCCTTTTGTGAACAGTTCTTAAAAGAATTTTTTTTTTTCATAGTGTGAAGAACATGTTAATAATCTAAAGAACCTTTTTCTTCTATAGAACCTTTTGTGCAATGAAAAGTTTCCATCATTTATGTTAAAGGTTCTTGCCAATAAAAAAAAAAACGTTATTTTTAAGAGTGAACCTATGAAATAATGTTCAATTATTTCCCTGCTTTGTTTTGACTGGATACCTGTTTTGTTTTATCCCACTTCTAATATTCTAACACCTGTTTCTCGTCCTCTGAAATGACCCCAGTAATGTCTAGAGTTTCAGAAGCGATCT